GGCTTAAATGCATTTTACCACCCCATCGAGATTTTTCAAATTTTTTTTTTTAAATCAATTTAGTTTTTCATACCGACTAAGAATATATAAAAATTTTTTGTCGGCGAAGTCTAGTTTAAAAGTTATGAGCTTTCAAAGATTTCAATAATCATATACAAATTTTGTTATATACTGCTGTTTTTTTTTGATAATTTTCATTAATTATCTATAAAAAGCATTCTTGATGATGTAGTTACCGAGGAATAGTAAATTTAAGAGTATTTATGAGTACATTAAACGTGTTAAGGTAGTGTTGAAGTAAATAAATTTAATTTTTTTTGATCTATTTTTTCAATATTATATCACCATTTTAACATCAAGGTTTTATACTTGTTGGGTCACTGAGAATTTCAGTCGAATGGGTTTAAATAGGTTGGGTTTGGGCTTGACTTCTATCCTCTAGGGATTTGGGGGCGTGAGCTCCCATCCCATGAGAGTCCCAAAGGGGCTCGAATCGGTCACCGGAGCCGGCAGGCGTAGGTGACCACAACTTATATTTAAATGGGTTTGTATAACTCAACATTATAACATTAAGATATTAGTAAGTATATTTTGATACCTCAACAACTTAACTAATATCAACAATATCTAATGTAATAGTATTTTTTTTTTGTTTACAACAAGTGTTAATTGGTGTACATAATAAACAGTAAAAACTTTTATTTTATTGAATTAACAATTCTATGTAAAACACCACATCGTGGTCTTTTTTTTTTTTTTGCTCAAATTGAATTAATTGAGTTTCTTGTTATTTTTATTTCGTATTGCGTAAATTTGATGTGCGTAGTTTTGAAAAAAATTTTTGGAAAATCCTTATTTTTAAAGATAATTTTGGTTTTAGAATTTTTAGAATTTTTAGAATGAGGATATTATGTAATAATTACGTCATTATAGTTTCACAATAGTATCATGAGAAAAAATCCCAAAAATTAACAAAAAAAAAACTATTTTTGAGCTATTTTTAGTTTTTGACGTTTCAACTTTAAAAAGCTATAACTTTTGAACCAATTTTTTCCGACAATTTTTTCAAACACTTTTGAAAAAAGCATTGAAAAATACACGTTTAAAAAAAAAAAAATGAAAAAACTCGATGGGGTGGTAAAATGCATTTGTTCCCACATCTCTAGTGGTCAGTCTATCGTTGGAGAGAGGGATGGCGAATCCAAATAATGAACTGGTCTATTGCTCGGTAAATGAAGAAGTGCGCATGAAGTATTGCTGCGTTACCGACTCAGCCATACCGTCTCTCTTAAAATTATGATTGTAAAAATGGCATTTTTAAAAAAAAAATTTATTACTGCATTTTAAAAATGCTATAATTTTTTTTGAATGCTAATTCTTGATATTTTAATAGAATTCATTATATTAGTCGTTCGATTTTTGACCAAAATTAAAATTTCTCATTTTTTTACTCCATAAAAAATCCCAATTTTAGTGTATATACATGAATTTGTACGTACATATTCTGAAACTATAATGTTTAGTATATAATTGGTTAATAGATGGCCATAAAGCATTGTCAGCTTTCTTGTGGATGTCACTAAACGCTATGATTAAATTAAAAAGTGCTTTCTTTAAATTAATATATTGCTATGCAAAAAGAAAATTTAAGAAAAATGTTAGAAGACAACTGTAACTGTAAAGACCATATTTGTAATCGATTAGTATGAATAAGAAACGGGAATGTAGGAGAGGCAATAAAACATTACTCGAAGCTTTAATACTCTAAATAGCATGCTTATTAAAATGTTAAGGTAAAATTCATTTTTAAGAATCAACTATAAATATGGTATTTAAAACGTCAACAAAAAAATTACCACGAGAGTTAGCTTCTTGTTAAATTTAAAAGTCCTGTTGAATATATATATATTTAAAGTTGAATTAATTAATTAGTTTAATTACATTAATATTGAAAGTTTACTAATTCAATTATAAAATAAATACAAATCTTGGATTAAATATTTTCGAAGAGTATTTTTTGTCTGTAATACTTTTTGGTTGAAATACTTTTGATACTAATTACGGTTGGGTTAAAAAACTACTTTGTAAAAATGCAGTTTGATCATTTTATGTCTCTGTTGAAATAATTTTCGGTCAAAATGCATTTCAATATTTTTGGTTATTCTATGTACTCCCTGTTATTAATGTAATTCCGTTATCATTCATAATTCTTGATAAGAAGATTCAATAGTTAAAACTGTTACATCACAAGAATAACAATATTTTATTTAAATTATTTATTCAGTGAAATGTGACGAATGAAACATCAATCTGAGAAAAGTTATAAATTAATTATGAATTTTAAATGAATATTAATAATCATTAAGACTATTTGTTATAATATTCATTTATTATTGACGTAAAAATTTTGTTAAATTTATTTGGGAAGTGTTGTGTTGTTTAAATATGGATTTATTTTTTTTGTCGATTTTGATAAGTTTCATTAATATGTTGTTAATTAAATATTTTCCAAAGGTAAAGTTATTAAAATTATCTTTATTAGTGAATTGGAAACATTTTTATCAAATGCCACTTATTTGAAATTTTGCAACAGTCAAAGTTTTTTTTAATTTTTGAAAATTGATAATAACTTGAATTATAAAATTGAAATATGAATCACAAAAGTAAAATAATTTATTTAACGGTTTTTGTCTCATTACATAATATTATTTTAGAATAATTACTACTTTCTGGAGAATTCTTTTGATGCGTAAAATATGGAAGGAAATTGTTTTGGATATGACTTTGTATTTTTTTTTTTCAAATATTTTGACTCTAAAAGGTCAAACTTTAGATTAAAAAAAAATTAAACACCCATTGTTAATTATGAAAACTTTAATATTAAATATTAATACTTTATTATAGATTGATTAAATAATAGTTTATATATAAATGTTTTTAGATGATATCAAAAATATTGGATCGTAATAATAAAAACAGAGATTTAATCGCAGAAATTACTTTTTTAAAAAAACAGCAAGCTGAAGTCTCTATTTATCATGAGTTTGCAAAACATGCAAAATTACAAAGACAAATTAATAAACTTACTGAAAATCTAAAAAATAATGGTATGTTAATATTTTATTGAAAATGTAACTGATAAGATATTAAGGAAATATAAGTTTATATTTTTAGCTTTGATGCAAAGCTGAGTGATAATTATTTCGAGAACTTGCTTAAATAGTAGAGTATACAAGTTGTGTCAATTAGATTTTTTTTGGAAATAAATTAATTTTATCGTTTGGAGTCTTATAATATAAATAATAATAAATATATATAAATTTTTTATTAGTTTTCCTTTTTAAAATTATTAATTCCTTAATTTAAAATATAAAATATTATCAAAAGCATAATTATTTGATAACATTTTTTATAGTGAGAGATAATGCAGCTAACAATTTGAAAATCAAGTTCATATGTAAAATATTATTCTATGTTATATCTGTAAGTATCCTTATGTTTTGACTAGTATAATATTATAGAAATTTAGTTTATATATTGATTATTAACAAGAATAGTCACATAACTTTAATAAAATATTTTACATTATAAAAAAAAGACAATATTCTATTATTATTTAATTAATAACTTTATTATCTAAGACTCATTAAATATTATTGTTAAAATAATATCATCTTGAAAAATGTTGAATTTTTACTTAATCTTGACAGTAGAAAATTTATGCAATGACAAATTGAATATTTTTGCTAGCCATCTGGGTTCACTCGTTTTTAATATTATCTTTAATTTTTTATTTATATTTTACCTTAAATATATCTAAATTTCTTTCTGATCTAATTAATCTTATAAATTCATAAATAATTTTTTTTTTTTTGCATAAACTGTTTTTTGTTATCACATTTAATAAAGAATAATTAAACTTGTTTTTTTTCAGATAGTTATAAATCTTATATTCATTCGTTTTAACTATAAACAGGCAGTATTGAGAGAGTTACCATTAAATTTGTTTTCTCCTTTATCTTGGATTGTAAGGTGGCCTTTACAAGAAGTAGGCACCATGAGTTTCCTTTTTTGGTTCAGTGTAACTAATTGTGTTGCAAGAGTTACTACAAATAGTATTTTGTTTTAATTTAAGGAGATAACTTTTACTCTTTGTATTCTGTTTTAGGACAATTACCTAAATGTGTGTACAAAACTTTACTTCTCTGTATAAATATACTATAAGACACTAAAATTATTGTGATAGAAAATTCTAATACTTTTGTTAAGTATCTAAATATTACTAATTAAAAAGTATTAAAGACAATTTAATATGTTAATACATTTTTTTTTTTTAATGTTTTGTTAAAAAATGTTATTCTTAGTAAATTTTGTTGAATGAAGTTAATTATACTTGTAATGAATAAAATGTGTATTTCAATTCTATTTACATTGATACTTGTAATTAATGGTCTATGTAAAATTTTATATTTACCATAATTCATCTTCAATATACTTAATGTGAGCAAAATATGATACAAATTATTAATTGATGATTAAATTGAAGTTTCAATGATTATATTATTAAAAACAAAAAGGAAAACCATAGGTAATTAACCAGGTAAATAAAATATTTAAGTGTTAACTAGTTGATCAATGATTTAACTCTTTAATAAATGATTTAAGTTGATCCAGGTTTGTGGTAACAAGCCCTTAGAATTTTGATTATTTTTAATTTATGTAAACTGAATTTAAAAATTTCATCTATTTTAATTTAGTAAAATAAAAAAATCAATAAATTATATAAAAAACAAAATGTCAATGTCATCAGCCAACAATTGGATTTTTACAGTGTGTAGATTATACACACTGTTTATGAATTCCTACTGTAAACTACAATAGCAAATATCTAGGGGAGGTACATTTAGTGATATTTTTTAAATTAAATCACAGAGCATTGTTTTTAAATTTAAATTCTGACATTTTTGACATATTTCAGAGATAGATAATTTACTAGGATTTCTATTCCTCTGAAATGTTCTGAATAAACTATGATCTTATTATTTTAAACTATTACTACAATATTATAATTATATTTTTCAATTTAATACATTTTTAATTTAAATATTAGTTAGTGAACATAGTTAATGCTAAAATTAGAGACACAAGTGAAAACAGTATTTAATTAAGACTTGATATTTTTCAAAACACATAAACCAATTGTAAGGGGTATTTATTATTGCAAACCAAATGAATTGTGCTATCATGAACCGGTCTCATGGATATCCCTACCATAGTCTAGTTTTACTATGCACGTACCGCGGTTGTCGTAGAAACTAAAGATTTCAGTAAAACGCACGCTGACGATGAGTGTAGTTCGTTAGTACGTTATAATCGCGATCATTATTATCTTTTTAAAATCGTGTCAAAATATTAAAAGAAGTTTCAATTTCTCGCGACCAGTGTACGTTATAGAAATTTTGATGTTAAAAATGGGTTAGGTATTCTTATATACTGTCATGATATGAGTGTGTGTGCGTTAAAATTTTTCGTACAAATATGTCGTCTATCTGTAGTGTTGTACATTTTTCGAATTAAGTTATATATTAATATAAGTCGTTAAAAGTTCTTGAAGTTGCCCGGAGTATGGATACGAAGGAATATAAAAAACAATCATAAGATGCATTGCTCGTGCATCACCTGGTGTAAAGCCTTTCTTTTATTATTCGTGCTTGCATCATCAGCCGCACAACTCGTTAAAGGTAAGAATATTTTATCAAAAGAAATTATTAATAGCACCACCCTATTATTTGGTAAATTGTTATGTTTGGAGTAATTTTCAAATTATAGTAAATAATTTTAAATTGGTGTTAGGGTCGTGGAAGCTTTATACAGTGCTGAACCTAAGGGGGCTTAAAGAACCCCATCCATTGGCCAATTATAACTACGAATAGTAAGAGTATGTAATAAGCAAAAAAAGGTTTAGCCCTCCTTAAAAAATCCTGTGTACGCCATTGGCTTTAAAGTGAATGACCACAGTTAGATAAGTGATTAGTAGGGTAGATAAGGTAAACGTTTTTGGTTTAAATATAAATTAAAATATAACAAGGTCTAAATCAAAATTGATAGAGCAACTTGAAAATGTTGTAAAAAATGTTTGTATCTCATACTTCCCCCTACAAGCTTTATTAAGACCAGGAACTAAAACCGTGTGATTTGTATCAGTTTTGGTTAGAAAACGGGATAAAATTGGTTATATCCGATTTAAATTTTAACCGGTTTTTTGAAAACTGACAATTCCTATAATCAAAATTTTGTTTTAATTTATGCATTCTTAGACTACTTTAATATTAAATTTTAGCTTCGATGCGCTGTATTAATTTTACCATGATGTGTTTATTTTTTTTTGTTTTTGTCTCTACTTTTTCTTAGCTCTCTCATTGGACCGATTTTTCTCAATGATACGTCAAAAGATCACAAATCATATCTAGTTGAAGACATTACCCTCAAAAATTAAAAATTTTTTCCTCATCCCTGTAAATGGTATAAGTCCCTCAAAGTGTACTATTTTTAAAATCAGTAAATTTCTACAATTTTTCCTAAAAATTGCCATAACTTATTGAAAAATGAACGAATTAAAAAAAAAATTTTTATATTGAAACCTTAGATATTTCCCTTTTATTTGATATCATTTTTTTGAAAATCTGTCACTCAACCTGCTCACAGGGGGGATTGAAAATAGCAACTTTTTTACAGAAATTATTTAAAAAAAAAAAATTTGTAATCAGGATATAAATAAAGAAATAGGACTTACTTTTGCTTTTGGAATAATCCACCAATTTCTTAAAATTAAATACTATCTACAGATTTGCATCGAAGCGTTTTTTATGATAGTGATTTTAATCACTGTTAGATATTATGTATACTTGTCCCAACTATACCACGTCCACATTGTGCTACTATTTTTTATTATTTTTTTTTTTAATTAAAATTTTTCAAAATGTTATAATAGCCAATTTTCTACTACTTTTTTACCAAAAATTTTGCATGAGTCTATAAAAATTAAAACGGCAATTATTAAGTTACAATAATTTTAATACATAGAGTGAGTATGTAGTGAGGTTGGTACAGCTCGTACTGATGTATATTTGTAATGCATATTTTATCTGCGTTGATTGTCAGTTAAATCTGTTTTATTTTGTATACATTATATATATTGTTGAATAAAAATTCGACTAAAGAAAAATAGAAGAATGTCTATGAAACATTGATTACTTATTAAAAAAAAACCATTTTTCTCTTTATAGAACTATAAATAATTTGTGGCAGTTAAAGTGTAATAAACTGGTTAAATTTTATTTGTTTAAATGTATTATTAGTAAAACTCGTATTCAATAAATGTATTCGACTACAAAAAACTATACGCCATATTTATGCATCTTATGAAAAATCACTGAAAATCGTGATCACTATATTATATGACGATTCATTTTTAGCTCTTATGTTTTGTGTTTGTTAGATTATTTTATAATTCTTCGTTTAAATTACTGTCAGTATCGTAAGGTTTAGATCAAACATTTCAAGATACTGTTATACACAATAACAGACAAAACAAATGGAGTGACGTATAATAAGGACTTTAGACTAAACGGTCAGTACATAAAAGACGGGCACGTCGTTCAGTCATGGGATTCAATTTTTAAATAGTAAAAGAATCACACAGTGCACGACAACAGTGAAAAAGTGTAGTTGCATTTTGGATTAATAAAAAAAAAATCATCACGCGGATATTCTACCAATTCTATTTTACTTAATAATATTTTAGACTAATATGCATAACAACATATAACAACAAGTATAAAATAAATGCTTTAAATAGTTCTTGAATACGATTGACACAATAGAGACGTGCGGTTTATTTTGACTAAAATACAAAACTATCACAATCGAGCCATTTTAAATTAAAGAAATGTATACACTGTGATAATATAAGAGGTTTGTTTGAAAAAAAAATCAAACTTCTATATTGCCGTTAAAAACACACTGTGAAAGAAAACCTATGCATCAGGATAAATATTGCTTTTTTGTGTGCAAGTATGCCGAGTCCTCGACATTTGTTCTAATAAATCTTCTTTGTCCCAGTCGTTGGAACTAGAATTTCATTACAAGTCGGATTTGGCACTAGCGCAATAAAGCTGTATTGTCTTTGTTATTGAAAAAGTAGTGTATCGACTTATCTTCATAATCATCAATATTCAATTTGCCGACTGTGTTCAAAGTGATTACGCGCCATTCTTTCGCATGTAATTGCACAGTATGAGCGCACTATGTATAAACAAAACCGACTATTGCGATCAGACAATAAGAATGTTATATTAAGTGGTTACTGTCCATATATTGAGCAGTATAATTCAAGTGGATAATTTGAAACGAGAATCAGCAGGAATCTGGGCTTTTATATTAAACGTTATAATATCTGTGATGGCTTATAACAAGCAATATGTACTTTTATCACTGACATGATTATGCTATATTTAATGACTATTGTTCAAATTACTAGTTTGAACAACCGCACCATTTACACGTTCTTATTGTTTCCTTGATATTTTTGGTTGTCTCAACTTTTAAAGTATCGCCCCTACATAATTTAATATTTAGTTTAAGAGAATATCCTTGACCAAAATTAATTACACATGGAACTATAATCATCATACATAAAATTATTAGACATTTTATTATGTAATAAATTGTTTTTTAAGTTCTAGGTTGAACGCGTAGGACTATTTAATTTTGTTTTCATATTTAAAATCAATTCAATACATTTAATATTTATATTTTAATACGAAAACCAATAATGCATATGATGTAAAGTGATTACTTTTGTAGTTGAATACTTTTATCATATCAAATCTAATTCGACAATAAATACTTTAAAAATATTAGAAATGAATGATTTTAATTGTTTGTATGGGTAAATCTGGTTAAGTTACTTTTTATTTAATTAAGGGATTTGTTTTCAATTATTGAGGGTAATATATTCCACTAAATACGCATTGTAATCATTTGACGTATCTTTAAAAAAAGTAGGTTTAGTGAGGGCTAGAAAAATAAAACATAGCCACAAAAAAAAAAAAACACACAGTAAATTAATATTAACATGAATAAGAATTTTCTTCTCATGAGGGTAGACTACAGTGATGGGACCCTTGATATTTATTGGTTATTGAATTTAAATGAAATAAAAATCAAATAATTTGAAATTTTTTTTCTTACTCAAAAAGAATTAAGGAAGAAATGCAAAAAATTAATTACTACAGGCGAATTTGAACCTTCTGTTCGCCGATTGATAATTTGGAAATTTAAGCTATTTCAATTTTTAAAGTTACTTATTTCAACTTAAAAAAGGAAAAAAAAATTAAATTAAAATTTTAAATTTATATTCTATATCAATTAAATTATATAATATTCATGATAGTTAGTGTAAGATATTTTAATATACAATAAAATACAAAACCCCGAATTTGAACACAAAAATAGCATATTTTTGAATACGGTAGCCTTTCTAACTAAGAAGAAAATATATATATATTTCGAACATTTTCAAAAATTAAATTGAAAAAGCCTAACTTGTGAGCAAATATTGCTTTTTTGAATCTCCCTTGTGGGCAAAGTTAGAATCAGATTTTCAAAATTTATTTCAAATAAAAGAAAAATATCTAAAGTTTCAATATAAAAATAAATTTTTTTAATTTGTTCATTTTTCAAAAAGTTATGGTAGTTTTAAGTACAAAAAACATCACGATTTTTTTCGCAAATATTATATTTTTTGTTCAAATTCGGCGACTATTTGCACATAGAAAAAAAGATGTCGGGTCAAATTTTTTTTTCGATTTATAAAGCGTAATATAAGCTTTAATTTGATATGTGTTTAAAGGACGCAGTATTTCAGGAACATTTTCAAAAGTTAAGTTTAAAAAGTTAGTTTTTTAAAAAATTTGCTATTTTAAGCCTCCCCTGTGAGCAGGTTAAGTGTTATATTTTCAAAAAAATAATATCAAATGAAAGAAAAATATCTAAGGTTTCAATATAAAAAAAAATTATATTGATTTGTTAATTTTAGAAAAAGTAATGGTAGTTTTAAGAAAAACAGTGAAAAAAATGACAAAATTTATCAATTTTAAAAATTGTAATTTTTTTTTAAGATTTCTTCTATTTACGGAGAACGAGTGAAATTTTTTCAATGTTTAGAGGTATTGTCTTAAACTAGATACGATTTGTGATCTTTTGACATATTGTTCATCAAAGTCGGTCTTGTAAGTGCTGAAAAAAGTGGCAACAGACAAAAAAAAAATCATAGTAAAATTAATACCTTCTCAGCTTCGCATCTAAGCTAAAAATGATTATAAGTTCTGTTTATATTTCTTTATTGTTTTAAATCATAACAAAAGTAATTTTTCTTCTTTTCACAAGTAAAATTTAAACTTTTTTAGAATAAAACATCATCTTCATCACTCTATCAATTAACAGGGATTTGATTTTTTTTTTGGACTCAATAATTTCATCATATTTTTCAGATTGAGTTTCAACCAGTTGTTGCTGTATATCAACTAATTCTGAATTTTCTATCTCTAATTCTCTCCTTATTATAATTTGTTCCTGTTTTATTAAAAATAGGAATAACAACAAAGTCATAATAATAAAAAACTTAATCTAAGAGTAGAATTTTGTATCAATAAATATAATTTGTCGATATATCTCATTT